CCTAAATCACAATTTTGCATAAAAAAGGAAATCTAATGTTACGTCAATCCTATTTGAGTCGTAATTCAAACGGATCGAGTTCGTAAAATGCACGTGATCTCATAAAATTAGTACCCTTACTTTAGCAAAAACCATTAAAAACATGTAAACCATTACTATTGCCACAGATATGAAACATATAAAAACATACAGAAACATTATATGTAAACATGTATCAGCGCACTCAGATATTCAAAAGAATGAAAAAGTACGAAGGAACTTCTCAGGAATGCTTTGAAATCTGCTATTAGAAAGGGAATCAGTTGATATGTGCGCACATAAAAGCTTACAGCCTGAAACAGACGGAAATATTACGCAATGGAGAGTTGAATTATTACATATTAAGCAATTGAGCGGAGTCTAGTAAAGAAGGGAAAAATATGTAAAGAACGTAGATTCCGAAAAATTGAACACAGCGAACTGATAACTAGGATGAACTAATCAAACGCCACGTGGCTACATCAAAACTATCAACGAGAATCAACTTGAAGAAAAGTCTCAAATCTAACAAATCTTGGCACAATTCACAACGTACAAATTACACTGTTTGTTATGCTTATTTGCGTAATATCCATCTCCCTCACCCCCTTCTATCTTCCTCATGGAACGAACTCTTAGCTTCAAAGAAAGTGAAAATCACAGGCAATGCTGAAGATGGATCAAATCGGAATTAAGCAGGTTGCAAATATCGGAACGAGCAAAGTCCTGTTAAAACAGCGCTCACGATTTTACAATAATAGCCGAAGTCAAGCCCGACTACGGCACTGAGCGTATCCTTAACTTTTTGAATAAAATATACAACGCATCGATAACTATAATTTAAATAACTCGGACTACGTAATGAAAATTCTCAAAATAGCCAAGCGGTACCATAAAATTATGGAGCCGAATTGTTACAAATAGGACTAATAGATTTTCACAAAGGTGCAAGAAAGCATGCGTTTTATCGCTACAGCTAGGATTATTAGGTTATGCGCAGCAGAGATAATATCACTCAAGTATTGGTGATTTCTTCTATTACATAAAAGAGTAAAGCTGAAATTCTCCGTCCTCATCAGCATCAACGAATGAGTTCCGCTGATACAAATTTTGATGATCGCACGGCAAAGAAAGAGATCAAACTTGTATGGTCCGCATTCAAAATCAAAAAAAGTAACTTTTGAATACTGGTAATGCAAATGGAGAGCCGCTCTTTACTTCATTAACCCAAAAATTGGGAATATGGCCTTCTCGACTTGCGGTTTGTGAAATTAACCCTACAAGTTGTGCCCCAAGCTGCAAAATTAATAGAGCAAAATATTTGAACTTGCAACTCAGAAAGAATATTAGTTTGTACAAAAATAACTTGCACCAAAACATAAATTAACTAAAAGAATTTGAAGGCAAAAAAAAAACAAGATCTTACTGTAACTTCTCACATATAAAAATATAAATCAATAAATTTATTCAAGGAATGTTGCCAGAAATATAAGAGATAGAATATAGGAAATCATAACATTCACCAATTAACGCTTGCAACCATTGACCTAGCATGGCAGATACTATATCAGAAATTTTGGAAAGCAAATCGACAAGGTATATATTATTAAAACGTGGAATGTGAGTACCCTTCACCAACTTGGCTGTCACCGAAATCGTAGCATAAATGGGTCAGCCCTAGTGAATTATACATAACATCACAATTCCACGAGAACAAAACAACAATTTTAGTGCATTCAATTATGAGGAAGGGACTATGGGTAGCATAGGGTTACCTCAGCAGTAGCGGCTGATCTTAAAACAAAAAAGTAGAGGGATGAGTAAAAGCTTTAAAACAACATATTTAGACTAGTCTAGAAGACGGACATCCCTACTTACTAAATCGATCTCACAGGAGAGAAAAACTGAATATTGAAAAATTGAACAGATCAACATTCAGAGAATATTTGGATTACAAATATTTAAGTATTAGCAAGAAAATCGAATACAGTTTCTGGTATGGCTCACGATCACGTTTTTATCTCAAAATGGCAAAATTACTGATAAATCATTCACAAGCTTTTATGTACTTCAAACATGAAGTTTTAGCAATAGGATAACAATTCGGCAGTTGGACAAGAAATCCTCTGCTCAGGAAACTAGATGATCAGTTTACCTTCATTCTTAGACGAGAACAAGACAAAAACATCAAGGCAGAAAATCGATGAGAACGGATTGTAGAACTTATGCGTCACACAAGAAAGACGTCAATGTTCGTTACTGTTCAGACCAAAATATGTACTCAAAAAAGTTTGAATTCTCAGTTTAATATCGAATCAAACGGAAGAGGACCCAGTGTGAACATCTCCTACCTGTATGTCCCACATGACATTTCTCAGCAGAATCGGAATAATGCAGATAAAATAGGATTTTTAGTAGCAAATCAATGTTGCACAGATACAGCACCCTTAGAGTTTTTTATCAGACCGTCGTTGACGGAGTCAGATAATACGGCACTGGCACGGAATGCGATAAGCGGCTTTTGTCGGCATCATAAATGTCCGACTCGCAAAACGCATGCACCCAGTGCCTTCTTTGGCGAAAAGGGTCGCTGACAACCAAACATCTAGTTCCATCTTTAGAATTTAGAAACGTTTTTTAAGTTTACGGTCCCGACCATAAATCTCTCATATGCGCAAGGAAAAATCATACATAAGTATTGCACCGAAATTTCTTACTCAGATAAAACAGTACAGCAAATTGTCAGGCTTGCAGGAATACGTCTATAGCATTGTTTTGAGAACAAGACAGCACATTATTGTGATTAGAGAAGGTAACCCTGCAACAGAAAACAACAGAATCATATACTTCGACTTTAGCCAATCAAAAAAAATTTCAAAATGAGTTTTCAAGTTGAAGATAACATATATTAAGAAGCGAGACCATTTAGATGCCAAGTGAAAAGTATAATCAAATCAAAAAAGAATAGGAAAAAAACTGCCATAACTCGTTCTAAGTGGATTTAGCTGCATAAGATGTAAGAAAAACTGATTGTGCAATTTGAGGCTGAAGACATTGGCTGTCCTGAGTAAGAATACAAAGGATATGCAATGCACAAAGCAACTGAATGAAGATCGGATATGCAATGCACAAAGCAACTGAATGAAGATCGGT